CTGCTTTTTTTTACATGCATTGTGGAAAAGCCAACTCATCAGGGGAAGCTTCAGCTTGGGAGACTATAATATCAACGTACAGTATATCCTTCGTTGCACGGTGTGACGTAAGACAAAAGTTAAGCTTTATAAGGAGTGATAAGGGCCTCACCTTTTTCGGCTGCTTTTCTGACATGCATTGCGGAAAAGCCAAAGCGTCAGGGGAAGCTTCAGCCCTGGCGACTAATATAAACGTACAGTATAAGCTTAAATGTAAACATTCGACAGAAGTCTGTCTGGTTGGGTATGAAACTGGGAGATGATTTAGACTCCAACCAAAAACTTTGAAGAAACCCGACTTTTTGAAACCGACTTGGTTCTTTCCTCAGGGGTGACTGCGGAGACTCATAGAAGCGGCGTCTTCAAAGCACTCGCGTGGTGGATAATGACCCTTCTTCTCTCTCTCTCTTTCTCTGAATCTCTCTCGTTTTGCCGTGGAGCACAGTCCATGTGTATACACTGGGGGAAGGGTTCTTAGAGAGCGGTTGATGTTATGGGCTGTCCTTTGTATTGTTACGTTTGGCCCGGCAATTCGTCTGGGCAGACACCATTGTGCGTAAGCCAGCCTACTAGGGAGGCTTTCAACCCCATCGGCGCGCAGTCTGCAAGACGCTGTTCAATAGATGTTCCAGGAAGCAGTCGGGTCTCAACAGAAGCTTCGCAAGGCAAGCCTTCTGTTGAATGGGCTCGAACAGCGCGGGGGGGGGGGGGGGACGGCGCCACTGTGGCGGGGGGTCTCATTAAGTCAACCTCTTGACTCGGCTTTTGTCATCTACGCGAGGCCATCTCAACGCACCGAAATCCCGGAAGCGTGGGAACGGGTTGAAGAAGCCGTTTAGAGGAATCGAGCATTTGGACTGCCTGAAGCTGAAAGCAGCATGGACCACTGCTGACGCTCGGGTTAGCGGCTATTTCCCCGGAGGAGCTCTGCTATCTCTCTCCGGACTCTACCTCCTCGCCCTGCGGTGCCTTCAAGGCGTGGGCCGGGTGCGTCTTTGTGTGGTGTGTTCCTGTTACCATTGGACCATTTCGCCCAGCCGAGTGGTGCAATATCTGCACCCTTTCTGTTGGCTGGACCACAAAGACTTCTTCCCCTGCTTTGTGGCAAGAGTGATCACCGTCTCCTTCCGACTGCGGGCAAGAAAAGCCGAACCATTTTTGTAAGTAGTGCTGAATCTTGTGTGGAATCATGAGCTGAACCATGAACTGAATCTCTGTTCTACAGAATGCGGGATCTTCTAGATCCCTTTACAGTTCCTATCTTTCTTCTATAATGTAAATAATTCGTTCTACCTCTCTTAACGCGTCCCCTCACTGGCGAAGTTCGACTATGCGGACAATGGTGGGAAGCCAGCTACCTTAAAGAAGCCCGCCGTTCCTGCCATCGTCCTCCTACCCTAAACAGTATGTGCCATGGCTCGAGTAACAACCTTCTCCTCCAGTTCGGCTCGCTTTCAAGGATGGCCGTCGCTTCGAAATTTATCTGGTGATCCAACGTCTCAGCATGTTCGGCGACTGCGCTGCGCTCTTTGTAGAACTTCCGCACATCGTTGGCGCGTTGCTTCAGTCGTTCCGGTAGGTTTTTTGTCTCGCCGATGTACGAAAAGGGGCACTTGGCACACGGAATTTTGTAAACGACACAGGGGGTCCTGTCCATTGTTGGCCGGTCTTTCGGGCTGGGTAGGAGGCGGCCCAGCGTACACGAAGACACGTGCGATCTGAACCGCTTCCTTCTTGAAGATCCGCGCCAACACATCACTGGTTCCTTGAACGTATGGAACCGGTACGCGTTTCGGGGGGCTGCCAATTAAGGTTGATTGGGGTTTTCGTATCCTCTGTTGATCTGCGCGGTAGGTGGCGGCTCGAATGAAGTTTTGGGGGTATCTGCTTTTTCTGAGGTCCGCAATTACGCGCACCTCTTCTTTTTTTCGCTCTGCGTCATTGGAACATAAGTTCCTAGCTCTCTCGAGTAGAGTGGTCACAACCGAGGCCTTCGTGCAACTAGCGTCAGATGTGAGCATCGACGATGACGAGAGCATGGTCTCATTTGACGTCGTTTCATAGTTCACCACCGTGCCAGTTCCCTTAGCTGTCTCCGCTGCCCGTTGTGCGCTCGAGGAGGACGCAAACCTGAGTGAAAGGACTCCTTTGGCGGCTGACGAGCTCTGCCGTCTACTGGAGTTCTGCCTGTCCAGTACGTACTTCTCCTACAAAGGAACTCTTTTCAGACAGAACAGTGGAACCGCGATGGGAGCTTCCATCCCCGTCACGATGGCAAACCCGACCATGGAGTACATAGAAGAGAAAGCACGCAGCTTCTTCTCGCCGCGACCCAAGTTTCTGCGTTATATGGACGATTGCTTTTGCGTCATTAAGACTTCTGAAGTTGAAAACTTCAGACAACACCAAAATTCCGTACACCCAGCCATACAATTCACGACTGAGTGTGAAAGTGACCGCTGCCTGCGCAACAGCCTGGAGTTCTCCGTCCATAGGAAGCCAACGCACACTGGCCGCCACCTTCAATTTGATTCTTCCGACCCCGCCTGCCACAAGGCCTCGGTTGTGACCACTCTACTCGAGAGAGCTAGGAACTTATGTTCCAATGACACAGAGCAAAAGAAAGAAGAGGCCCGCGTAATTGCGGACCTCAGAAAAAAACAGACACCCGAAAAACTTCATTTAAGCCGCCACCCGCCACGCAGAGCAACAGAGGATACGAAAACACCAATCAACCTTAATTGGCAGCCCCCCGAAACGCGTACCGGTTCCATACGTTCACGGAACCAGTGAGGTGTTGGCGCGGATCTTCAAGAAAGAAGGGGTTCAGATCGCACGTGTCTTCAAGTACGCTGGGCCGCCTCCTCCCCCGCCCGAAAGACCGGCCAACAATAGACAGGACCCCCTGTGTCGTTTACAAAATTCCGTGCGCCGAGTGCCCCTTTTCGTACATCGGCGAGATGAAAAACCTGCCGGAACGACTGAAGCAACACGCCAACGATGTGCGGAAGTTCTACAAAGAGCGCAGCGCAGTCGCCGAACATGCTGAGACGTTGGACCACCAGATACATTTCGAAGCGACGGTCATCCTCGAAAGCTAGCCGAACTGGAGGAGAAGGTTGTTACTCGATAGTTATAGCGCGAGTACAAAACGACGACACAGAGACAAGAAGGACACGAAAGACACGTGTCCTTGTTGTCTTTGTGTCGTCGTTTTGTACTCGCATTATAACTATCGTCATGCCATACCAACTAGCCCAAGCTGCCACACTTCTAAGTTCCATTGTTACTCGAGTCGTGGCACATACAGAGGACAGCCCATAACATCAACCGCTCTCTCGGAACGCATTGAAGAAGAATGGCGATTTGGGCTAGTTGGTTTGAATTCTCTCGGAACCCTTCCCCCAGTGTATACACACGGATTGCGCTCCACGGCAAAACGAGAGAAGGGGGGGGGGGGGGCTTAGTTATCTGCTACGTAGTATCCGCAGTCACCCCTGAAGGCACTGTGCCGTGCTCCCGACCGGGTTGCAGAAATTAGGTGCCTTTTCTCATCTTCTAACCACTACCACCACCACCACCCCTGATAGGTACTGTGCCGTGCTCCCGACCGGGCTGCAGAAATTAGGAGCCTTTCTCCTTTCCTAACCACTACTACCACCACCACCACCCCTGAGGAAGGAACCAAGTTGCTTTCGAAACGTCGGGTTTCTTCAAAACTTTTGGTTGGAAAATCATCTCCCAGCATAAGCGAGCTTAGTTGCACTGTGTGTCGTCAGACAAAAGTTGAGCCTTATCAGGAGTGGTAAGGGCCTCAACATTTTCAGCTGCTTTTTGACATGCATGGCTCGAAAGCCACACATCAGGGGAACCTTCAGCTCGAGACATTCTAATATATACGTACAGTATAACCTCCTCAGACCCGAGTGAATTTTTCGCCACGCAGGTGAAATCAAAACACATTTTTAGAACGTCTACATATACTTTATTGTCTCAGAAAAATATTGCAACTTTAGCAAGAACAGATTTCACACACCAGGGTGTGCATTATAATGCACACTGGGTCTCAGCACATAAAGAAGTGTCAAAATTCACTTTTATCGGAAATTTACTGCTGCTACCGAAAGCGCCATCATTTCGTGTGAAATTGCTTGCAGCAGTTTCGCGCGGTTGTAATACAGAGAAAGATATTACATGTTGTGCATAGAATTTTTGTTCGCTAACATCCTGGGTTTCGGCACCTCGATGACGATCCCTGATTCACAAGTTCTGGCATGTGGTCTGCTTTAGTTGTTCTTTTTCGGCTCAGGAGGCAGGGGCACAACCTTAGCGTTCAGCGCCTTGCGTGGAGGCTCATCATCTCCAGATTCTTTGCCACGACTGCCTTTTGACAAGAGGTAGTGTGCTAGTGACATCTTGAACTCGAGCAGTCCAAGGATGTTTTTTTTTTTGGCACATCAAGAAGAGCAGAGTTTTTTTTGTACTGCAGCCATGAGTTTACAGCTGCAAGGTCACAAATAAAAATAATGGTCCTGACAGTCCACTTTTTTGTACGCTGTGTCGTGGGATACAGGCTTAGCATTCTGTGTGACATGTCCACTCCACCCATGTTGCGGTTGTACTCCTCTACAAAGGCACGGCGAGGAATGTCCTAGTACACCTTCTCCTTTTTGGACCATCTGTGGCACTGCCCAAATGGTTCCTCACCAACATGATTTGAGGCAAATGTGATGGCCTTGTTGTCCAGCCATTTCATTAAGCAGGTACCCGAGGAGACATTCACGGTTTGTGAACTCGTTCCTCTACTTCGCTTGGATAGGCATTTGTCGTCCTCGAGATTTGCTGTTTTGGGTACACGATTTTTGATAATCGTACCCGTTCCTCGAAGATTCAGTTTTCCAAGCTGTTCAATAAGTGGCAATGTCGTAAAATATCGGTCAAAAAAAAAAAACGATGTCCCGCTAGGCAGTGTTTTTGCAAAGACTTGCACAAGGCCCGAGTCCAAGGTCTGGGCTATTGCTAATCTTGAGGACAGTTTTCCCCTGGTAAATGTCGAAATCCAGGACTAGTCCACTGGGGCTGGCGATCACGAAGTTTTTCAAGCTTGTAGGGTGAGGCTTTCCAGGCACATACTGCTTGATTGTAGTGACGCCTGTAAATGGTATTATTTGTTCATCAATAAACACGGAAGGTGGTTTTGTGAGCTTACGGCATGCTGCTTGGACCTCTTTTAAGATCGGTCGGACCTTCCACAGACGATCATTCTTTTGGTCTTGCTCGGTGAAGTCAAGATCATTGACAACTTTGAAGTTGCTGCGAAGCGTGAAAAACTGGTCTCGGGTGAGGACGTCGGCAATGGCAGGCACCCTTGTGCCCCGTGCCCAATAGAGACGCATCTGTGGGTAGCCAAGACAGCTCATCATCAACGTCGCACCCAGAAAATTCTGCATTTCGGAACATGCTGAATTAAGAATTTTTCCTGTCTTTTTGGTGGAACGCGACAGCTGTCTTTTCCTGCATGGTGTCGAACACGGCATCTGACAAGTATTGTCGGAAATAGTGACTTGGCCGCCAATGCTGTCTAACATCGGGTGACGTGTCCGGTGCACACCACACGTCGCTGATGGCCGAGTCAAATGAAACTCCTCCTCTCCACGTATAGTCTCGAGAGCGCGTACTGCCAACACCCTCTAGAAAGCTTTCCAGTTGGTGTTGGTACTGCTCGAATTCTGCTCTTCTTCTTCCTCCTCACTGGAGACATCTGTAAAGAACGCTCCCCATCGGTCAAAAAGAACAACTTTGGTACACCTATAAAAAATGGTTAGTGCATCGCTTACCATCGGAGCACTGTGGAAGAGGCACGGCATCGCCGACAACAAAGGAGGGGTTGTCCATTTCATCATAAGACAATTCTAGATCTGAGGTGTCATTGCTGGCTATTGCTTCCGGGACCCGCTCCACTTCTTTATCACTGAGCAACAAAAGCCGAAGTATTTCGGCAAAGAGTAATCAAACGCACGAAGACATTAGATGCATACGCTGGCATACATAGGCATTGAGACCGAGTGTGCATTGTGGCAAGGTTCTGTTTGGCGTTGCATAAATCAGTTGCCAGACTTTGGAGTTGTTGTTGCCAGACTGCCACCAAATTTAGTAGATAAATTTGCCTCTGTAGTTGTGGCTTCTCCGTGAGGGTTTGGTGTCGTCCGCGGTGCATTTTGCGAGTGCGTGAGCTACGTTGGCCGTTTTAATTAACAAAATGAACGTAAAACGAGTGTTCTAGAAGTCGGGGCCCGCTCTCTTGCTATGTGCGCAGCTGTGTAATTAAGAGAACGCGGCTCAGTATTAGGCACGACGGGGAAAAACTGAATAGAATCGCAGCAGGCAGTGCACTGCCCCCCACCCACCCCTTCTTTTTTTTCACAGCTGATTGTGCCGCGTCGACTGCGTGCCACGACGGGTACGCTACGCTTCCCCTAGCTGTGTGACAATACATACCGTTCGGACTCGTGTACATGTGGCGAATAAACGTCCCAAGGCTGGCTAATTGGGGTACGTCGGATATGCTACTGCTATATACGCCTGGAAGGCTGCTTTATCGACGCAGTTGGAGCGCGTTAAGCGTGACGCGCGCATACCTGTAAATGGGACCCCGCATAAGCATTCATTATTTTGAATTTTGATCGTTTGTGCTTATTGCGGGTGGGGCCCTGCAATCGACGGGGGCTGGTCGGCGGGGTATTATTTGCAGGTACGCGCGAGTCGCGCTTAATTCGCTCAAACTGCGTCGATAAAGCAGCCTTCCAGGAGTACTTAGCTGTAGCATATCCGACGTAGCCCAATTAGCCAGCGTTGGGACGTTTATTCGTCACATGTACACGAGTCCGAACGATACGTCTTGTGCTGACACAGCTAGGGGCAGCGTAGCGTCCCCGTCGTGGCACGCGGTCGATGCGGCACGATCAGCTAGCTGTGAAAAAAAAAAAGGGGGGGGGGGGGAGCGCACTGCCTGCTGCGACTCTCTTCAGTTTTCCCCGTCGTCCCTAATACTGAGACGCGACCTCTTGACTGCACAGCTGCGCACACAGCAAGAGAACGCGCGGTTCATTGCGTTAATTACGTCGCACACACACTCGCGGACAAGTTCATCGCACTTGCGAAATGCACGGCGGACGACGCGTCGTTGATTCCCTAACTCTGAGACACGATCTCTTAATTGCATAGCAGCGCACACAGCAAGAGAACGCGCCCCAATGTCTGCAAGGCACGGCTCATTCCGTTAATTAAAACGGCCAGCATCACTCATGCACCCGCAAAATGCACCGCGGACGACACCAAACTCTCGCGAGGAAGCCGCAACTACAAAAACAAACTTCTCTACTAAATTTTGCGGCAATCTGGCAACACTGACCCATTCAGTCTGGCAACATTTTTATGCAACGCCAAACAGAACCTTGCCATTGATTGTAATGTACACTTCAAGAAAACAGCTTGCGGAAACAAAAATACAGGCCTTTAAAGTTGCGCACCATACAGGAATAACTCCTCAGCACTTAACAAACAGATTACAACAATAATTACAAAATATTACATGATCAGTAGTGAGTATAATGCTACTTACTTGGACGCCGCGAGTAGAACGTCGAGGCATAGCCTCTATGGTCGAGGTCGAGAAAGACGTTATGTTTAACAGCGCAGAACGCAGCTCTCTCTGTGCTATGCCTCTTGTATTTTTCACCAGATGGCAGCACATAATAGGCAAAACGATCGCACGTGCATTTTGTTTTTGCTGCAAAAGTGGCGCAAAATTCAAAATTGAGGTTGAAACAAATGTGCATTTCAATGTACTCGTGGTCTGAAGAGGATATGCTTCATGGCGCGGTGTGACATCAGACAAAAGTTGAGGCTTATCAGGGGTGATAAAAAGGCCCAGAACTTTGACTGCTTTTCGACATACATTGCGGGAAAGCTAACAGTTCAGGGGAAGCTTCAGCTCGGGAAAAAGGAAAAGAAGAAGGAAGACGTGGAAGGACAGGGAGGTTAGCCAGTCTTTAAGCCAGCTGGCTACGCTGTGCTGGTGAAGAGGGCAAGAGAAATAGGCTCACAAAATCAGAAACAAAAAGAAAGAAGTAATGGAGATCGTTTTCTTCGTCAAAATATAAGTGCCTTTGCCGTCTAAGCGTGCTCGTTATCACATATATTCGTTACCCTGAGGGCATTCAAGTAAGGTTTGTCGCAGAACTACGTAGTTGTCCATCTACAGCATGAGCAACTAGCACATCTTGGAGATATCATTTCAAAATGAGAACATGTATAATAAATCGAATACTAGAGGAGCACGAGGAGAGAGAGGCGCAGGGATAGCCACGTACGGAAGTAAGAAGAAGATAGGAAAGATGGACACGGTCGCAGTAGTCCGAGGACGGGGCGCCACTCAGTAAGAGCTCTTGTCGGCGTCAAGAGATGGCGCAGGGCGAGCCAGTCGGCCAGAGCGGCGCTATCGTCGCAGATCGCGGGGGCACAACTGGTCGGCACGAAATCCAGACAGCGTGACCTCTGTAAAAAAACAGTAAAAGAAAGATGCGTAAGCGGGGTCGGGTGTCGCACCCGGCGCGTATCAGTTCAAGGGCGAGTGTCTTGACCACTCAGCTAAGCCTCAACGTTGGCCGAGTGCCAATGTATTTCAACCATATGAATATTCTGTACCAGCTATTTAAAAGAAAACAAAAGGGAACACTTCCTGTCAAGACTGGTGAAGTATTTTGTGATGTGGGGATGTCCCTTCCAGGAACAATAGCATTCGAAGACACCAGGTAAATTCCGGCTTTGCGAAAATTGATTTTATTGCGGTAGCAATTATATGGACACTCTCAGCCAGATTTTGTCGTTGGCGTCGGCGTCATTCACCGTTTATGTAGACGTATCTATATATACAAAAACGCAAGAAAGAAAAAAATAATCCAGAAGAAGATTCTGGCGTGCGTCTGACCCCTAATTTGTGAGTGTGAGGCGTTAGCCACTGAGCCACGAAAGAACCCCTCCTTCAGCGTCGAAACGGCAAGCTATTTATATCTTCCACTTACCGCAGGCGATAACCACCTAGGACCACAGAACACCTACTAGGACTATATTCTAGTACACTATAAGACTATATAGTTTTCGGCATTACCAGCGAGATGGCGCAATGGGCATGCGTCGCCTAGAGGCATAGAGTTTCCCAATATTATAGTGCCTAGAATATACTGGCTAGTGTGCGGAGCGCGGGTGAGGAGATGGCCCCGGCCGCTGATGACTTCCGGCGGTGCCCGCTTGGTGCGCCGATGTGCGGGTGGGTGCGTCTGCGTTCAATGCGCGCGCTCCCCAAGTGCGGCGAAGAATCTCAGTAAGCCGAGCTGCGCGAGGTCAACTGTAATTTTTTTTTTCGCATTTTCAGAGAGTTCTTTACAAAACGCTTTGTTATATAAGACCTACTTGAGCGTATTTTGCAATACCAAACGAAGATCCATTTGGGACGTACACCTCGCTGTCTACTACCAGCAAAAAAAAAAAAAATCTCCTTGATAGTATACCGCCAAAGTGATTTTTAAAGTTTACTTTGCTAGAGCAAGAAATATCACAGAAGGTTCGAAAACACTTACCACATAGCCTGCACTCCATCAGAATGAGTGCGCACAAAGAATGACAGCAATACCAAGCAAAAACCAGACATTACTGCGGCATGTGAGATTCTGAAGTGCGTTGTTGCGCTGGGAAGCAGACGTTGAAATAGAATATATATATATATATATATATATATATATATATATATATATATATATATATATATATATATATATATATATATATATATATATATATATATATATATATATATATATATATATATATATATATATATATATATACTGTTTTCAATGCATCATTCAAATGCTGGTATGCCAAAACAAGCCAACAAATTAATTCGTTTCTCATTTTGCATCCTGACTAAACAAACTTCTGTTAAAGCTGTATTTTACACCATTTTATAACGCTCTGTACCCATGAGTGTGGTCATTGGTAAGTGTTTGAATTTGATCTAAGGATACCTGGAAATAACAAAAAATGATAAAAACAACAATTCAGTGAAGTTTGAAATACTGCAGGCATCAAACATTTATTCACAGAACATTCAACGCAATAGAACAAACCAGGCACTACAGAATGGACTCAAACGAGAATTCTACGCACTTCACGCTAGTGGCAGCGGCGTAACTTGAGCAGTTTTTGTCGTTGCCTTTGCCCTTCTCTTTTCTTGTTGAGGCCCTTAACAAAAAATCTGAACCGTAATAAGACATAAAACTTCACCACTTCAGAGAGATTTTCTTTTTCATGGCTAGAGCAGCCAAGCTGCGGCAATGAGACTGACCGCAGGCACCTTGCAAAATCGAGCAAACTCTCTTCATGAAGAATGTTTTTGCTAAAGAAGACAGTGAATTCGTCCTCAATCAGCTTAACTGCTGTGGACAGGGCAGAACTAGGATAAACAAGCCCGCCATTGTCAAAATGAGCCGTGAAGTGAGAGCTCTCATCCATGCTTGCATCGCTTGGGGTTACACAAAGGCAAGACGCACATTGTGGACACGCGTTTTTGCGATTGTTTTTCTTGCCACATAGCCAGAAGCATAATAAATCAAGGCAGCGTTGCTTTTCCTTTCTACATAGCCGGCATGATCATGTTTGAACAGAACACTGTCAATGGCCTCCTCAACTTCATCAACCTTTCCATGGTCAAATAAGTCATCAATAATGTTCAAAAGTGGTGCTGCCTTGGCATTAAGCTCTGATGTAGGTGCTTCGCTCAACAGTGCTTTTATAACATCTGGTGAGCAGTTTGTTCCTCTCGGTGATTTTGCCAGGTTATAAAATGACATTAGGTTAACAGTCACGAGAAACTGTGACACGGTAGGATGGTCATTACAACCTGACGCCTGTCTTATGATGCCAAAAAGGTTTTCCAGTTTGTCTTGACTTAGACGTGACGTGAAGAGGTAGTTGTAGCCAACAGTGGAACTAAGATAAGATAGCAAGTCTAACGTACTTCTGATTGTAACCCTCAGTCCACAAGCAGTGTTTTCAGTGAGAAATCCACCCCCAGCTGGTTCTGCGTGCCTCTCCCATGCGTCTAGGTAATCTAGAAAATCTTCCAGGAACTTTTTATCTGGATTACCAGGCTTCAAAGCTTTTTGACTCGTCCTTTGATCTTCTTCTTTGATCAATGCCTCTGCCTCATGGCGGGCTGTGAGCACGCGCTTTTCTTTTTCTCTTCCTCGGAAGTGCACTGTGGCAACTACCGAACCCTGCTCACGCAAAGGTTTTCCAAAACTTACCCTTCTTTCAATGAAAACATTTGAAAAGTCACCGGCTTCAGTCTCGCAACAGACATAGGTTAAGGTGTCATTTGACATAGCAGGCAACTTCATCCAGGTCACCGGAATCAAAATTCCATCGAATGGGTGCCGAAGATCACTTGGACACGGCTGTTGCGGTGTCACTCCGCCGTTACGCACTGGTTCTGCAGCAAGGTGTGCCTGTTCGGAATCCGAACGCTGTCGTTCTTCCGATGCAACTCCAGGCGCGATGCAATTAGAGTCAACTGGCGTATCGCCATCGTACAACTCAGGGTCCGCCAGCTCGACATTTCGCTTCTGTTGTTTAGGTGCCGGTTCTTGGTCGCAAATGTTTCTCCCCTTTTGTTTCATAGCCTTTTTAGGTACAAGATGTGTCGGATAATCTTCGAAGACCGTAGGGACAGCATCGGGCTTCAGACGTGGCTTGTCTCGGGCGATTTCGTTGACGACACCGTTCACCGTAGTCTGAAAATATCGTTCGATGCAGCCACTCTCAAAAATGTCTTTCACACACGACAGCCTTCGGCGTCAGTCTCCTGTCTGCCCTCTTGATTTTGCTCTCCCATTCTGCAAGCCGTGCTGGGTCCGTCGGTGCGGTGAACAAATACACCTTTTCCTCGTTCGAACGATATCCGCTCCGGCACAGCGGCACAAAACACGTCCTTTCTTTGCATTGCCGCTTAGCCTTCAACATCTCAGGACGTTGCTGCCCACATTTTGCGACGACGAACTTGACACTACAACAGGTCGAACACTGACAGCTGTCAAACGCTGAGCAAAGCATGGGACGACAGGAGCTTGGCGGCTCTCATGCACCCACTCGTCCGGCAGCGCCACTTGCGGCCACTGCGCGCAGTCATCACGTGCGGGGCCACCCTCTCTCGTACGGAATGCCCGCGCTCCGCACACTAGCCAGTATATTCTAGGCACTATACCAATATGTTAATTTTGGGCACGGAGGAAGCTTTATGCCTAGAGGTACTGTATATAGGCTAGACTAGAGATACTGTACTCTAGGCGGTCGGGCACATCAGCGTCGCATAAGACTCACGAGGGCATGGCCTTCGAGATTGCCAGCGCGTGGAAAAACTCGCCCCGCGTTTACCATGTCAGAGGCCATAACGCGGGAGTCAGCGCTTTGGACACTTTCCCTCAAAGTATCGTAAAATATTTAGGAAACTACAGGGAAACTCTATGTTCCCCCTACCACACAACACCTACATACTTTACTTTAAATGTCACCTACCCACTCCGTTATGATTTTTTCGTTTCAATATATTTAGTTGTTAGATGCGCTTTGCCTGTGTAGTCGTTTTTTTTTTTTTGTCCTTAACTTTGCACCACTGCCTTTACCTACAGTATGTTTCAACTAGCCCCCCACGGTGTAGCCCTCAAACAAGCCTTTTTTTTTTCTTTTATTTCGTCCTATTTCACGTTTTACAATGCTTTGGTGTTTTGCCGTCCATTGACACTGTGGCGCTGCAGTAGCTCCTGCAGCCGATTTCGTGTTTACTGAAAACGCGCCATGTGTACTTGTTTACATTTTGCATGATCGTCGCCAGCATGGACCAACGTCGTGCATCGTTCAGACCCGTCGTGGCGACACTCGTGGCGAGCCTTATAGATAGCAGCAGTAGCAGCAGCAGCGATAGTGAGGAGGAACTTATACTGCACCAACTTCTGAGTGTCGCTGACGCCACTCGCGAACGGAGGGTGGCCGAATGCGTCGAGAAGGCCTTGCTCAAATACTCGGATGAAGAGGCATGTTCATTCATAAGCTTTCACATTACGTTTGCGAAAAGGTGCGATATTGATTAAGCCATGCTTTCTCTTCTTCTCATTTGCCATGACGCAGTTCTTCCAGGATTTCCGAATATGTCGTAACGTCGTTCTGCGGCTCATTGAACGCTACGCGAAGTCAAGTTTCTACATCCGGCGTTCCGATCATGGTGGATGTCCACAGAAAAGCCCCGAAGAACACATTCTTTGCTTTCTCTGGTAAGTACCCTGGAAACTGCGTTTGGTGCTACGCGGTCATTTTAAAGCATCTGTATATGTAATCTAGCACTGCAACGAGGGGGGCATATGTCACGTATGGCCCTCTATATTGCAGGTATGCTACGAACAAGGTGTGCATCAAAGATGTCGCCACTCGCTTTTGCTTAAGCGAAAGCACTGCTCATGGCATTACGGAGAGATTGCTGGATTACCTGTGCAGCCTGCTCCCCAAAGAAATATGCTTCCCTGATGATCTAGACTCACTCGTGGAGGATTTTCAACAGGTGTGTCAACGCTCGGATATTTGCCTGATTTTTGTGTGGTTTTGAATTCATTAGGCTGCTTCTAAAAGGGTAATTTGCTTTCAATGTTGGGAAAGGTTTTGAACGATGTCACTTGGACTAAAGCGAGAATGAAAAGTTATTTATTCAAAGTGTCTTGCAGGCCCATCGAGAGCCCTTAAGAGCTCTACTGCACAGTTCTACAGTGCACAAAAATATAGACATTAAATAAATATATATCTTCTGAAAGCATGCTATAGAGCTGTGTGTTCCTACAGCATGTGCACAGTACCTAACCCTTAATGAAAACTGCAGCTTTTGCAAAATCTTGATGCAAGCTCACATAATCATTCATTTTGATAACAAGTGTTCTAAAATTACATTTAACAACCTTTGAAAAGAACACCAGGAGCTATTTCTGGCACTAAGGATCTTTAACACTCTTGCAATGGCTTCACTATATTCAGTGGTGCATCAAAATCGAGTACCTGCCTTTAAGACCTTCTACTGGTTTGAAGCAGTAGTACAGCCAGTAAATATCAAGTTACTTCATTCAGGTTGCAGAGTTTCCAGGTGTTGTTGGCTGCATTGGTGGAACACGCATCAACACACGCAGTCCAGCCCACTCGCAAAGAACACCTTCCACCCATGGACAGGGTTCTGCATCTGTCACTCTGCAAGCCGTGTGCGACAGCAGATGCCGTTTTATGGACATCTTTGTCGGACCACCCGGAGATCTTGAACTAGACAGTGTCTTCCTTGCATCGCCTTTGGCCGAAGAGCTGCCATACTGGTGCCTGGACAGGTACCATCTTTTGGGGATTGGGGGTTACCCACTACGTGAATACCTACTCACGCCTTACGACAGTAACACTACTGATTGTGCCAAGACCTCCAAAACGGTATTCAACGAGCGACACGAGAAGATCAGGACCAAGATAGACGACGCCTTCTGGTTACTAAGGCAACGCTTTCAGCAGCTGCACTTCCTGGAGTTTGTGACAGCAAACAAGATGCGCAGGTTTATCATGGCTTGCTGTGTACTCCATAATATCTGTGTGCAAGCTGGGGATGTCGAATTGGATTTCGAATGCCTTGACACCGATAGTGGCGTTCTAAGTGCATGCGGCGAGTTGGAAACTGAAACAGAAGAAGAAGATGAGAGAGAGCTTGGCAGTTTGAAGAGAGACAATCTCGCTAAAAGTTTTCTAGCATAGGGTCTCTTTCATGCCCTCAATTTCTCAATTGTGCTGTGAATAATGAACATCGGGTATCTAATGAATAGTTATAGTGTCGTGATAATGTACAAAGTCATTGACAGAACATTGTGAAATATATATATGCTGGTATATTCAGTGAAAATTCTTTTGAAGAGGTTTGCGGCTTTGTGCATTCCCTGTATTTAACACAGCTAATAAAACTGACACAATTAAGCCAACAAAAGCATAAGAAAGATTAATTTGTGGTTTATTAACTGTACTGTATTTTAGCTACAACGTAGGGCACATCCTCGTCCACTTTCTTGCATGGTATTTATGAGTGCTTAATACTCGAGAGTGATAGCCAGCACCACTTCACAGCTCAGGTGGCGGAAAGGACCATTTTTCTTTTGATTATTGAAGTGAGATTCATTACATTATAGTTAAGAAACCACAAATAATGTCCCCTATACTTTTCTTGGCTTAATTGTCTGTCGGTTAAATTAGTTGTGTATATTGCAGGAAAAAAACTAGCACGTCAGACATTTCCCCTTCTTTTGTACTGTGCATCCTTTCACTTTCATGCATTTGTTGGTACTTTCAACTTTTTCATGTGCATTGGTGCTACCTGGAGTTCAGAAATTCAGTGTTCCTTGTTCCCTTATTTTGATATATTTAAGTTTCATATACAGCCGAGTGCAGATCTGCAGAGTTCCAGTAACAGCGGCAGAATGAGTTGGATTTCATCAGTCTGCAAAAATTACCGGCACACTCTTCGGGGAAATCTTGCCGCGTATATGGCACCTTTGCAAGAAGGGCTCCCATTCTCCCACTTGTCCATCTACACTAACTAAAAAATACATCAATTTCTTTAATTAATGTTCTGGTCATCATATGACGTCTGCTGCTACACATTTATTTACTTATTTATTTTAACATACTGTAGCCTTAATAGGCTATCGCAGGAGTGGATACAGAATACAAGAGAAATTGCAATACAACGCAAGAAGTACAGAGCATGAAGATCAGTGGTTATTGATGTATAAAATGAATTCATCACGTGATAACGATACTGTAATTATGAAGGGAGCAAAAATATTGCTTTTCCCTTATACATTTACCTTCTTGGCGAAAATGGCCCCACAAAAGATGTCACTGTTACGGGATGAAGCTTTCAAAAACCAAGAAAAACAAGATTTCTGAGTATATATCGACAGGCCTTTTGGTGGAGGATGCATTCACAAATGAACGTATTCAAATGGGATGAATGTTTCAACAAATCGATTAATGCAAGTTTTCTAGATCCTACATAGGCTTCCCTTTTTTGGTCAAAAATGAATTTGCGATTAGTTTTAACTGGGATGAAACTTCCAATAATCAAATAGAAACAAGATTTCCAAAGGTTATAGATTTACCTTTTCGGTCAAGAATGGACCCACACATGTTTGCATAGAAATCTAAATTTATAGCCTTTGAATATGTTGTATTCTTGATTTTTGAAAGTTTATTTTTCCCATTTTAATGCAGTAGCTATGTAGGCACGATAGCTAAGTGAGCATTTATGAAAACCATGTAATCACATTGCTATGGGCAAAAAACAAACAAAATTAGGATAGAAAATGAACGACGAAGAAAGAGAAACACTGGGACAGAAAGCGAAAGGGAGAGGTAACTAGAGATAAAGAAAGCATAGCATTGCCATGTACAGTAGACCATAGTAAGAGGGTGAGAAAGGGAAGTAATGACAAGGATGAGGGGAGAGGGCAAAGCATGGCACACCTTTTATGCTGCAATATATCAAGGGGGTGAGAAAGGTGAAGGGGGAGGGCTAGGACTACAACTCCAGTTTTTACAGTGGAGTTGTTTCCTCAGCACAGCCCTCCTGTAATTTTTACGGGGGGCTGTTATGCCCACCGTTTGTCCGTTTTGCGATGTAGACGAGAAAGGACCATGATTCCAGCACTACACAGATATATCTGGCATGAAATACAAAAACTCGAATAGACGAGAAAGCGAGTACAGAGAGAAATATACAAACAAAGAGAAAGAAATGGAAGAGCAAAAGAAAGGAAGAGATCGAAATACTGGACAAAACAAAAGAGATCAAGACAGAAAGAGGTAGGCAGAAACAAAGAACGAAAGTGAAAAACAAGAGAGAGTAAGGGAAGAAGTATAAAAAATATAGAAAAAGGGAGAAAGATGTAGAAATAGAAACAGACACATCCACTCGAACCCAATGGATACTTAGCAAACACTTGTGATTTACAATGTGATCATGTGAGCATTTCGTGCATTGGTGTTTGAATGCACGTGAGCCTAGTCAAGCCAGGACCAGGCAAGTGCCGACCAGCTCTGCTGTGCCTCAGCCTTACGCCACTCAGTGAAAGTTGTGAAACTCTTTAGAGATGATAGTATTTCTTGGAATACTTCAATGTAAAAAGTTTGGTCTGTCTATTTGTTTGTCTGTCTGTCAACCTAAACGAATTCAGCTACCAGGCTAAAATTTAACCGCTTCCTCAATGCCCATCCATCTTTTTTTTCTAGCTTTTCCAATTGCCAAATTGAACAATGTTATTGGCGAACTGGTGCAGTGCCTCCTAAATGGCATCAGAATACTCCCACGGCAACTTAGAACTTGCAGTGTGCAACCAAACTTCAAAGGGACACTAAAGGCAAATAACAATTTAAGTCAGAGTGAAAATGACGTCTAAAACGGCAATATTATCAACAGCAGTACCCTACTTACTGTGAAATTAAGCTAAATGTATCACACGACGTGCACCACGAGTGCAACATTTTGTAAATGATCCCAATGACATGAGATCATCTGACTAAATTAGTCACTGGTAATGAATCTAGCTGCGATATATCAAGAACTTTCTGTGCATCAAGAGACAAATAAAATGCTGCTTGTCTGTTTTTGTTTTATTTATAGAAAAAATAACCGCTTGCGGGGAATGGCACAAGTAATCCAAAAGTTCCGTTTTTGCCGGGCTAGGCTGGATAGGTGGATAGCTGGTGCTAGGCCCAGATGAACGAAGCAAGCAGGAAATGGTTCAGTGGCTGTTGTTGGTGCTGCGACTCCAGCTACTTTTGCTTTGCTGCTACTAGTGTCGGCCACCTCACAATAAAGACAGACTACGTTAGAGACGGCAACAGCGGCGCTGGAAAGATTGCTTTCAGACTGGTGATTTGACGTGTGCTAACGTGATGCAGATTACTAAAACGAAATTTTATTACAAAATAAGCACTTCCTTGACAAAAAAGTAGCACTACGAGGTTTCTGGATTGCCATTTCAACAATCAACGTTAACTTGACATTTGCCTTTTGTGTTCCTTTAGTAAGGTGAATGGGTGTTCAGTAACAATTTTCTTCCATCCTGCATCAAATGGCAGAAACACCAATAGCAGGTAATCTGTGTGGTATGGGGGAGTCGAGCAGAAAATTATTAATTCGCACCTTATTTGTAAATACAAAGCTGTTGAATGTTCGCCTGCAGATTCGAACGTCGCGGGTTCGGTCCCGGCGGTAGCATTTTGATGGAGGTGAAATGGTAAAGGCCCGTGTGCTGTGTGATGTTAGTGCACGTTAAAAAACACAAGACGGTGTAAATTTCCGTAGCCCTCCACTACGCCTTTTTTCATAATCATATCTTAGTTTTGGGATGTAATACCCCAGTTATTATTATTAAAGCTGTTAAATGTGACATTTACTTTGCTTATCTAGAAACACGGTTTACATTCTGGATGATAACATTGCTTTTTTCTCCCTCTCTCACTGGCTTTCGTAGTGCAATTGGGGTGTAATTATGGCATTGTCAGTATGAGAAGTGCAACACTGCTTTTGTAATTTCCTTGTCATGCTGAGAGTTTTTGTGACTCGCCAGTAATGCGACAAAATGGGCTAGTTGGTTCATGTAAACTTTTGTGATGCGTTTACCGTAGAGACAGTTTACACAGGACACGGTGTTGACAAAACTACACATGAAAACTAGTTGAAGTTTGCACTCGTTCTGTTAACACTTTCCTGTGTTCTTTATAATCTGTCCCTACAGCAAGTGCATCACGAAAGCTGACTTGCCAACATGCCAAGAATGTCTATGCTGCATCCAGGCATGCGTGCCAGTGTGTCAGGCTTATATGCTACAACACAACTTTCAACAGCTAGTGGTGGCTGTCATATCTGGTGCTGCAATTTTTGTAATGATGACAAGAGAGTTTTCCTGACATGCCAGGAACGTTTCCGCCACATCCGGGCAGGCTAATGTGTTGGGCACATATGCTACAACACAACTTTCAACAGCTTATGGTGGTGTCGAGCTAGGAAGAGAGACATGCGTTCCATACAGACAACAGCCCTATGTCGGATTCATAATTTTTATTTTCTACCGATGTTTACAGGTTGGCATAACCGTAAGCTCAATGGAATGTTATTAGTGTCTTTTCCTAAATAAAAAGCATGGTCTACAATAAGTGTAGCTGCAAAAAAAAAGGAATGCAAAACAATGAGCAAATAGCCAAACCCTAGATGCTTTTCAACCACCACTAAATTCGACATTGTAAAAGAAAAAAAAAAAACACCAGGCAACCAGCACAACCTTTCAAATGTGTACACACACATATTTGTAATGTATATATATATATATCAGAAAGGAAGAAAATAAAACACTGCGCACAAAAATCACACGCATTCCAATGTCAGAATTCATTCAGACACCAAAAGAATAACAGGAAAACTCGAAAGACATAGGGGGCACTCGAACCAATAACGTACAAGCATGTCCGGGAAATAGAAAAGATAACAGTAACTTGCACGTCTGAGCCGCGGCTAGCATGTATTCTAAAGAACCTTTCACATAGCAGTACATATTAGTGCAGTTCTCTTAAGTACACTGGCACCACATTCATCTTGCGGAAGGCAAACATTCAGTCTGGTCACATCGGTGATCTTCCATCTTGCAATTGAGGCTGACTAGAATTGACACGGTCGCAAAGTGTGTGTGCGAATTTCACTCCTGAAATGGCAGGATTTGCAACTGCACTAAAAAAAAAAGAAACGAGCTTTTATGCCAACCTGGAAGAAGCCGCCTGCTCATGGCATGTTCTCAAAGCGCACACCCTGGGAACACTTCAGCAGTAAAAATTTTCGGTGCAGAACTGTCTGCCTGCCAGAATATCGTACAAACTGGCTTGACCGTCACTGCTTAACGTACTAGCTGCCACAGAAATTCTCGAGCCAAAGCGCCTTAGATCTGTACAGCAATAGAGCCCCAGGCACAGGCGAACGGCACATTTCGCTAGGTGATCCGTCTTAGTTTGGCGACGACAAATATCAAGTTAATCAAGAGATTGTTGAAAAATTAACTTCTTCTGTGACAAGTTGTCCATGCACCGTGACGAAAGTGTTCTCCCAGTGAGCATAATGCGGCCTTTGGCAGTTTTGTGCATCCATTCCTGCTCAAAAGCCTCAAAAAAAGCATGTCATTTTTAATGGTACATACGAATGCAATATATAAGAGGCAGAGCCAAACACCCGATGAAGATAGCTCAACCAAAATGACTGGTGAACTTTCCATAACTGTACAGCATTGACTTGACCGCCAATAAGCTTTAACACCTAGGAGAAGAATCTAAAGAGTACAAAGCCATTGCACTACTTTACGTTCGTTCAAACCATTCACGCTTTGACTTGGAAACTCCTGTGGCACATAGCAGTTGGTCAGAACGGCAAAACATGCTTGGCAGTGAAGACACTGCGTAGATAACAGCCTTCGGATGGAACCTCGTGCGTGTCCAGAAATGCGCAAACATTAAGAGCGATTGAACTAAACGATCCCAACCTTGAGGTTAGGGCAGTCAGAGACGGCTCTTGAAAC